TTTTTTCTCTTTTTTTTTTTTTTTTGAGACAAGATTTCACTATGTTGCCCAGGCTAGTCTTGAACGCCTGAACTCAAGCATTCCTCCCTCCTTGACCTCTAGAATTGCTGGGATTATAGACAGGAGCCACCATGCCTAGCAAGCAGTTTCATTTTTAAAGAAACACATATAAAACAATCTACCCAGTCACATTTTCCCCATCCAAACTTTACATTTCGAAAATATGAACAAGTGCAATACTCAGCAGATTTGAACAATAAGATGCTGATATGCAATGATATTTCTACTTCTCATTAGGGCTACAAAGGTGACTGGAGAGGAAGAGACAGGAGAGGGCCACACACGAGTGTCTTTTCGCCCACTCAAGGTAAAGATCAACCCAGGAGAGGGAGGGGAGGGTCAAAGTTCTGATTCAACAACTAATACTACTATATCTGTTACAAATACAAGGCTCTAAACTTTAAGGATCAACAGCACTCTAGGACTTTTCTATTTTTACAAAATACGATCCAAATGCTAAGATACCAACATTAAACAATTACCTCGGAGATTTTCTTCATTTGAAAAGATCTTTCATTAAAACTTACTGTAGAAAACGAGCCATGAAAAGACAGGAGGGCCCCGAGTTAGCTGAATCGAGTGGAAATCAGACATTAAAGTCACAAGTGAAACCAATGAGGAGGCCTTCGGGATTCTGGCACCCCACCCGGGAGGGAAGTCAAGGCAGGCTTCCCAGAGGAGGTGAGACTGAAACAGAGAACAGCCAGAGTGAGCAAGCGAAGACTGTTGCAGGAGCAGGAGCAGGACGTGCGACGGCGGAGGCCAGAGAAGGAAGCCCGTGTTCAGAACGACAGGTGGATGGTCACGGCAGCGGGCAGAGGAGAGGAGGGGCCGGCGACCCGGGAGAGGCGCCGGGCGAGACAGGTGCGGGGGCTGGAGGAGCAACGCAGCGGCCTGAGGATCCCGCCTCCGGGCCGTCGAGGGAGGGGTGCCCGCGCCCGGTGGCCCGCAGAGGGGGCCG